TTTTTTTTTTGCCTCCTCCTCGCCAATTTGGTCTGCAAAAATAACAACTACAACTTCTGTAGTTGTAGTAAACAACAAGTCAACAATGACAACAAATAACAGCAATAAACAGTCAGCGATTTTTCACCGCCAAGAGCAATGAACTTTTCCCCCAAACAAGCGTTAACCACAAATCTTCGCTGCTCTTTTCTTTTTTGTATTTCCCACTTTTCCATGGAGTCTGCGGCATTGTCTTCCAATTGGAGTGCCCCCCCAAAACTCCCCCTTTTTTCGATCTCGCGCAGTTTTCAAGTTCAGATGTAAAACAGTGGCGATGTGCTCGATGTCGCCATTTGCCATCCGAGATTAGATCATCGCCTTCCAGTCGAGTGAACTAAGTGAGCTAAGCGCGGGCGTTGCGATGATGGCACTCGACTCCGAGTTTTTGGGATCGGATGACAGCATTATGGCGACCCATCCATCAAAATGTGGCCATTTGCAGTGGGAGTGGACTAGAATGCTGATGTATATATTTGACAATCCCCAAGAATGTTTTTCGTTTTATTTAGAAAATTATTATCATTTAGCAGCGAGAAGAAAGCTTTCTTTATCTTAGGGATGATCATGTAAAACTCTAAAATTAAATAAAAAAGTATTAACAGTTAAGATTGATTAAATTAGATGTGTTATTTCACAGAAATTCCAAACATAATTGGGTCACAAAGTCTCAGCCTTCCTAAAGAAAAAACCTGTTCCGCTTGGGATCAGTAATCCTCTTAAATATTGATTGGAAATTGGTTAGCTTTAGTTTCCAAATGAATGTACCTATTTCACATGATGATTAACAAATGTTGCCCTAATGTTTTGCCTCTGGGAGTTTAGTATTTTTTAGAAATCATAAGTAAATGAAATCAAATTAGGTAATTTGCGAGTTAAAAAACACAGATCTAGTAATAAAAACTTAAAAATTAACTGAAAACAATGCGAACCAGCTGCACTTAATCATCCTCTTGGGTGGGGACTAAAACAGTTCATAATCAAGGGGCGACTGATGCAGTGGATGAGGTAATTCCCCACTCGGAGGGTCCCACGATGCCTCAAAAAGTACAACCCACTGCACAGAGAAAAAAAATGTATGAATTTGTGGATTTTGAATCTTATTTTGGACAAGAATTAAATCCAAGAATATCTTTTTAATATTATTAAATCATTATGTTATATAAAAATAGTAAAATTATATGTTTACTCGATTAAAATAGAATTCATTTATATTTTTTTTTTTTATTTCGACTCTTAACTTTTTTTGTCCCTGTATATAGAAATTAGTACCGATTCGATTTGCTCGGGGGATACGCATTCCGTACTTTTTAGGTTGACCAATCGAGCAACTTGAGTTTGTCATCCCGCGAAGACGAGCTTAATTTAGGCATTTCTCTGGCTTTTTTCTCCGCCTATTAGCTATTACCTCACCATCATCGGCGTTTCTTTTTCACCCCATTCATTCGCTTTCTCATGCAAATTGGGACCAATGCGTATCAATAAACCTAAACACTTTACGATCAATTTGAGGAGATGGCCGTTGATACGCTTGTGAGATATGCAAAGTTATTCCGTTCTGGAAAAAGCCTTTGGGTTTCGGGTATTTTGTAAGCCAAACAATCGGTGAAACAAAAGCAAGTGCGATTGCATCGTGTGTGTGTGTCAAAAATAATTGCACTTGGTTTTAATTTTGGATTTCTGCTTCTTTTGTTGGCCAAAAAGGCGAAGAAAAAATCCATTGCAATTGCAGTTGAACAACTTTACGCTCCATTCAGCATTAAAATTACTTTGTGCCACTTTCAAAGCTATTTCTACTGCTGCAAAAGCCACTACTTCTTCTGCCTCTTCGGATTTGATTGTTTTCAGTTTTTTGTTTTATTATTTCTTCTTTTTTTTCTGCTGGCAACCAGTTGGATTGGATTGCCTCCTATGCACTTTTCAGCTTTTTTCAAGTTGGCAATGGACACTGGAACAGGTGGGATCTAGTGTATATAGTATATAGTGCAATTGGAGCCAAAGGGGCTATATGGTTGTATTCCGGGGAATGTCGCAAAAGTCACGAATGTCACGCATCAAATGGAACAGAAACAGAACGTAAAAAAAGCAGATAAAAAAAACAAAAGTAGCCACAAGAAAAATCGCCAGCTAATTGATAACAGTAAGGAATGCAATCGAATGGAACCAAAAAAATCGGAGTTAAGGTATTGGAAAAAAGGTTTTTTTAGGACCATAAAGAAAGCGCATTTATCTGGAAAAAATTCAAAGAAAGCTTATAGATAAACTGGTAATATAATATAAAGGTTTCTTATTATTTTGAAATGCTATTCTATTTTTTAAGTAAATTATAGGTTCTTAATATTTTTACAGAGTATTTATTTAAATTAAATATTTCAATTGTTTCTATCAATTCAAAGGCAAACATATTAAACTGCGATCAAAGAATATTTCGCTTGACGATAATTCCAAATAAACAATGGCTATAATGATTTTCATGCCATATTCTGCCGATTAACACCTGCCGCCAAGTGGATTCCAGCCCCCCTGGCTCATTAGCCCCTTTGGCGTCGGAAAAAAAATCGAAAACACTTTCAATATAATTGCGAAAATATTTGAAATAATTTTCGTTGCCGTTTGCCGTCCCGAACGCGCTTTCCTTTCTTGGCGCAGCCACTTTATAATGGAGGTCTTGACGGGGCGATCTGCGTATGCCCCGGGAATTTTAATCATATTTCTCTTTTCGTACATGCTTAATTATTTGTTTTTACGTCTGTGCGGTTTTTTACTTCTCATTTGGCTTTGCCAGCCCCACGGAGGCCAATTTGGTTTCCATTTCGATTCGATTAACGAAATTGGGATTGCTAAGGATCCGAACCGAATCGATGGATACCCTCGATATCAGTAGATTTATCATTTTATTTTAGAAATTGTTCATAAAAGTCTGAATTACTGTTCATATTTATATTATTCATGTTTTATAAGATAACTTAATAATTAAAAAGGTTTCCCTTGATTGGTTTTTATATGGACTGTAAACTTTATATGGTGCCTGGGAGTTAGAGATCTCATCTTGCATTTCCTCTTTATGGACCGAAAATATTCCCAGCAGCTAGGGTATTTTTATTGCTCGTAATTTTCGGCTTAATTTTTTCGGTTTTCGATAGTAAACATTTTGATGTGATTGGATTAGAGTGGAGTGGATTGCACTGCAGTGGAGTGGGGCTCGGATCGTATCGCATTGGATCGATTCCGGGCATTTGGCAGCCACTCAAGCGTCCTACTTGCAGTGGTTGTTGTTGTTGTTGTTCCGCCAATTATTATGGCCAACAGTTTGTCCGTCCTCGGTCGTCCAAAGTCGTTTATTGTTAGTTGTTTGTCGTTATGTGCAGGTTTTTTTCATTTTATTTTTTTTTCTATCTTGTTTTGTATAGTTTTTCTTGCAATTTCACTTTTGTCTTTTGCCGGATTCGAGGTTCGATGGCTGTCGATGCTGGGGCCTTTAGTTAAGGATCTCGCATCTCCCATCAGGGCAACAGGGCAGGTAAACCGATCTAGCTTTCACTTCGGCCCGCCTGCATCTCGAGACCAGGATGCAATCAATCCGAGACGGAGAGAGATACTTTCCACGGGGGACCACACCCAGATCATCCAGATTCCGATCTTCCAGCAAGTGGAAAACAAATACCAAATGGAGATACAAGATACTCGAGCATCTTTCTATCTCTTTTGGCAGATCTATTTGCCCCCGGGCCCCTCGTACTTCCCTCTTTTCATTTCTAATGCCATTCACTTGAACATGCGGCCATAAAAAAGAACCACAAAGTGTGGAGAAGAAAACCCAGACAAATTTGAGCGGAGGGAAGAGATCTTAAGGTCGAATTTTAGTTGCTCTAGGGAAGCTGTGAAGGTTTTAGTTTTAGAAGGTGTGGCTATATCAGTTATATCAGAAATAATATCCAAGATTTATTGCTATTAGTTTGCCGTACTAAAATTAGTTTGATATTCCAAATTGAGTTAGCCCAAAAAGTAGATGAGCTGGAGTATTACAGTCGCAGAACTTAGAGGGTATTTTCCCTGACTTTCAATTAGCCCGCTTCGAGTCACGTCAACTCGAGAGTGTGGTTAAGTATAGTGAAATAAAGTGAAGTCAAATCGAGTCAAGAGCCAGAGACAAAAGACTGTGGCGTGAAGAGGTCTTTGATGTCTAAATCGCAGAATCTGCCCCTATATCATCTTTCCCCCGGCTGAAAATATATCCGAGTCTCAAAGTGGAAGACTGAGAACGTATCTGAATCTTAAGCGATTTGAGCAATGACCTCAACTTTTTTGTCTTGGTCGTGAGTGCCTGCCTGGAATTTGTGATGAGCCCGAAGCGGGCTTTTGGGGAACAAAGGAATCGGAATCGGAATCGAAGTCAGGGGAAGATATTCCAGAACAGGATCCCGTTTCGCCCCTTTGAGACTGTCACTGCCCGCTGACCTTGTCACGTCTTTCAGATATCATAACCTGCATTCCAAGCCATTCAACCGGGTCTTTTTTTGTTTTCTTCCACGCATTCCCAAGACTTCATTCAGCTAAGAACTAAGAACTACGAACTACGAACTGAGATACTAAGAAGTATATCTTGAGGTATTTTCAGACTGCGTTGTTTTCGCATAATTATATCTGTCGCTTTATTGTCTCTGCTGGTTTAAATGGAGATTGATGGCTTTCAAGCGATTCGGCACGAGCTTGGGTCTCTCGTCTCTCAGATCTCGAATCTCGTATCTCGAAAGAGATCTTTAAGATCTGCGCTTAAAGCCAAGATCAGCTTGGCATGTTAATTAGCGAATTCCAGTGGGCGGGGGGTGGTGTGGTCGAATAATCGAATGGACCATTCGAAAGCCCGACTTTTGACATTGAGCCGAGCTCTATAGACCCGTTTGCAGCCTGCTCAAAAACTAGTCTTAGACCCCCGCTTAAGCACAAATATTGATTTAGCTCACCTTTTGGTATGTGTCCAATTTTAAATTCAAATTCGTGTGTCGGCTAAAAAATATGAAATTAATTCAAAACTTTGTTATATAAACCATAAAAAAATGTATAAAAAATAGTATATGGCAGAAAACACGCGACGCGAACTTAAGGAATTATTTTTTAAGCCAAGGGTTTTCGTTTTCGATTTCGGTTTCGGTTTTGGTTTTGGTTTACCGATTTCACGCACAGTTTGGCCAAAAGCCCAGCTCGTATTGGGTGCGACAGAGAGGCGGGATACACTGTATATCTCTCTCTCTCGTATAAACTCTCTGATTCTCTGCGATATCTCTCCGCTCTGCGACTTCGTTGGCTGAGCTCGAACCGAAGACTGGCGGCTTGATTTTCGGGCTGCTTGGAAAAGAGCGAAGAAACCCGAAGACCGAGTCGCGTAGACGAGGTCTTTCGGCCCCACCACCCAAAGTCGTAACCCCCACCCCTTGTAACCCCCTTATTTTGCGATCGTGCGCCAGGCGACAAAATGTCAAACGATCGCTGGGGATCCTTAACTGGTTTTACTGCAGAAAGAGGTTTTATTTAGTTTTAGGCCCAAGGAAAGTAGACTTTCGATGTGAATCAAGTATAATACTAATCAGTAAATAATATATTTTGAGAAATCTTCTTATATTGAATGATAAAACCTGAACAAAATGCTATGGAATATAAAAATAATATTATTATTTCTGGTTGATCAATTTAAAATAACCTTTTTAATATTTATTTAAATACAATTCCATCTCCTAATCGTGGGTTACAAATTTCGTGTCCCGCTGTTTTTTGATTTCGGGAGTTCCTTTCTAAAGATCTCTTCAATCCGAAATTGCACACAATAATTGGGACATCCATTCTCTGTTCTTTCGCTTCCCGTTGCAGCATCTTTAATGACTCCTTTCTCCAGCAATTTTCCATTTTCCGCTTGTCCCAATTCCGCCGACGAAGTCCCCAGTGGAAATATTAGAATTCCGCTTGAAATGGACCAGAACCAAAGACAGTTCGATGCGATTCCAACCGATCAAGAGTGCAATTGCAGTGGAAAAGTGGAAAATGCGCCAGATGGAATGCAGAAAATTGGGAAACGGGAATGGGAATGGGAGTATAAGTAGAATGGGAGCAGAATCGGCTGAGTTGTCGCCTGAATTTTCCGCAGTGGAAAACCAGCAAGGCAAGAAATACTTTCAGCTCGGCACAAAAGGGGCAAAAGCGGATTGGTTCGAATAGCAATTGGCCAAGTTGACCGAAAACCTGTTAACGCTTTAAGGAAAAACTCAAGTGAAGCTAAGAGAGGAAAATGTGCACGCAGAGAAAATAAGGACAGTTTAAATGATGCTGCTAGATGATGTTAAATGTGGAATATTAAATGTGTTTTCAATTAACAAATTTAAAATAATTAATGGTGCGTATAATTTCAATTGATTTTAAAGAAATTCGAAGAGAAGTGAGGCGCCAAAGGAGTTACCATTTGGCCTGAACGCTCGAGGAAAAACGCGAAACGAGTTTTTCCAGTAGAAGACGGAGGAATCTGGCTCATCCGCAGCTGCTCGCTGAAAGACTAAAAATGGGAAAAAAAGAGAGGGGACAAGTGGAGAAGTTGTCAAGAATCTCGAGGCGAATCGATCAATAACCTTTTCATCAAATCCACTGAAGGGAAGCGAAGAAAATAATGTTGAAACTCGGCTGAGATAATTGGACTTTAGATCGTTGATCCATTGATCAGTGACTGAACTTCAAAAGGCGAATGGTACGAAATCATTTACAAGCAAGAGAGCAGATGCACATTTATTTCGAATCAATTTTATATCCTGCCTTCGTCATCTTGTGATCTTCGCTTATCCCAGATATTTCTTTGACTTCCTTCATTTTTGGACTCACCCACGCACAAATATGGCGTTAAAAACGAGGAGCGGGGAAAGCATGAAATTGGCTGTAAATATCTTTCACCCATTGCAAAAGTTGTTTTGGCATTTTTCGAACATGTTCGTTTGTTGTTTTCCTTTTTTTTTCTTACTTGTTTACATTTTTTTCGCAGCCCGCCAAGTTAGTGGGCAAACTAGTTTTTATTTTGCAAATATATGGGCATGGTTATTATCAAATTGTGCGAAAGCCAGCAAAGCGAAAGGGGTGAGGGGTAAATATAATACAGCTTCAGGGATTCACGTTTAAAATCCCTTTAAGCTGTCCCTATCAATTTTGCCGAAAAATCAGGATAAGGGTTAGGGTAAAAAGGTTTTTTTCCTATAACGTGACAAATAATAACAAATTTGTCAACCAATTTTAAAAATCCATAAAACTTTCCGTGTGATTTTGGAAAATTAAAATGGTCTCCCATTTTTAATTCCTTTATAAGGGGGTACCCCATGATTTTTTGCGAAAAATATAAAATACATAAAATGTCAAGGTTTAAATGCCAATCGTTAGGAAATTTAATAACGAGTTCAGAAAGGTATGACACTCCATACTTTAAATCAGTATTTGCTTTGTTTAAGCGAAAAAAACGGTTTTGTTTTTTTTTTGGAAATTCGGGATTTCAGTTTTTGACAAAAATTGAAATATTTTCTTTTGGTTTTTTTGCTGTAACTTGGCCAAAAATAGTCCTACACCAAAAATACATACTGTTTTGAACAGATAACAAAATGTGCTATAAATCCATAAAACTTTCCGTGTGATTTTGGAAAAATAAAATTTTCGCCAAATTTTAATTTTTTATAAGGGGGTACCCCATGATTTTTTGCGAAAAATTTAAAATACATAAAATGTCAAGATTTAAATGCCAATCGTTAGGAAATTTAATAACGAGTTCAGAAAGGTATGACACTCCATACTTTAAATCAGTATTTGCTTTGTTTTAGCGAAAAAAACGGTTTTGTTTTTTTTTTGGAAATTCGGGATTTCAGTTTTTGACAAAAATTGAAATATTTTCTTTTGGTTTTTTTGCTGTTACTAGGCCAAAAATGGTCCTACACAAAAAATACATACTGTTTTGAACAGATAACAAAATGTGCTATAAATCCATAAAACTTTCCGTGTGATTTTGGAAAAATAAAATTTTCGCCAAATTTTAATTTTTTATAAGGGGGTACCCCATGATTTTTTGCGAAAAATTTAAAATACATAAAATGTCAAGATTTAAATGCCAATCGTTAGAAAATTTAATAACGAGTTCAGAAAGGTATGACACTCCATACTTTAAATCAGTATTTGCTTTGTTTTAGCGAAAAAAACGGTTTTGTTTTTTTTTTGGAAATTCGGGATTTCAGTTTTTGACAAAAATTGAAATATTTTCTTTTGGTTTTTTTGCTGTAACTTGGCCAAAAATAGTCCTACACCAAAAATACATACTGTTTTGAACAGATAACAAAATGTGCTATAAATCCATAAAACTTTCCGTGTGATTTTGGAAAAATAAAATTTTCGCCAATTTTCAATTTTTTTATAAGGGGGTACCCCATGATTTTTTGCGAAAAATTTAAAATGCATAAAATGTCAAGATTTAAATGCCAATCGTTAGAAAATTTAATAACGAGTTCAGAAAGGTATGACACTCCATACTTTAAATCAGTATTTGCTTTGTTTTAGCGAAAAAAAACGGTTTTGTTTTTTTTTTGGAAATTCGGGATTTCAGTTTTTGACAAAAATTGAAATATTTTCTTTTGGTTTTTTTGCTGTAACTTGGCCAAAAATAGTCCTACACCAAAAATACATACTGTTTTGAACAGATAACAAAATGTGCTATAAATCCATAAAACTTTCCGTGTGATTTTGGAAAAATAAAATTTTCGCCAAATTTTAATTTTTTTATAAGGGGGTACCCCATGATTTTTTGCGAAAAATTTAAAATGCATAAAATGTCAAGATTTAAATGCCAATCGTTAGAAAATTTAATAACGAGTTCAGAAAGGTATGACACTCCATACTTTAAATCAGTATTTGCTTTGTTTTAGCGAAAAAAACGGTTTTGTTTTTTTGGAAATTCGGGATTTCAGTTTTTGACAAAAATTGAAATATTTTCTTTTGGTTTTTTTGCTGTAACTTGGCCAAAAATGGTCCTACACCAAAAATACATACTGTTTTGAACAGATAACAAAATGTGCTATAAATCCATAAAACTTTCCGTGTGATTTTGGAAAAATAAAATTTTCGCCAAATTTTAATTTTTTTATAAGGGGGTACCCCATGATTTTTTGCGAAAAATTTAAAATGCATAAAATGTCAAGATTTAAATGCCAATCGTTAGAAAATTTAATAACGAGTTCAGAAAGGTATGACACTCCATACTTTAAATCAGTATTTGCTTTGTTTTAGCGAAAAAAACGGTTTTGTTTTTTTTTTTTTGGAAATTCGGGATTTCAGTTTTTGACAAAAATTGAAATATTTTCTTTTGGTTTTTTTGCTGTAACTTGGCCAAAAATGGTCCTACACCAAAAATACATACTGTTTTGAACAGATAACAAAATGTGCTATAAATCCATAAAACTTTCCGTGTGATTTTGGAAAAATAAAATTTTCGCCAATTTTTAATTTTTTTATAAGGGGGTACCCCATGATTTTTTGCGAAAAATTTAAAATGCATAAAATGTCAAGATTTAAATGCCAATCGTTAGAAAATTTAATAACGAGTTCAGAAAGGTATGACACTCCATACTTTAAATCAGTATTTGCTTTGTTTTAGCGAAAAAAACGGTTTTTTTTTTTTTTTTTGGAAATTCGGGATTTCAGTTTTTGACAAAAATTGAAATATTTTCTTTTGGTTTTTTTGCTGTAACTTGGCCAAAAATAGTCCTACACCAAAAATACATACTGTTTTGAACAGATAACAAAATGTGCTATAAATCCATAAAACTTTCCGTGTGATTTTGGAAAAATAAAATTTTCGCCAATTTTCAATTTTTTTATAAGGGGGTACCCCATGATTTTTTGCGAAAAATTTAAAATGCATAAAATGTCAAGATTTAAATGCCAATCGTTAGAAAATTTAATAACGAGTTCAGAAAGGTATGACACTTCATACTTTAAATCAGTATTTGCTTTGTTTTAGCGAAAAAAACGGTTTTGTTTTTTTTTTGGAAATTCGGGATTTCAGTTTTTGACAAAAATTGAAATATTTTCTTTTGGTTTTTTTGCTGTAACTTGGCCAAAAATAGTCCTACACCAAAAATACATACTGTT